AGAGAGAGAGAGAGAGAGCGAGACACATCACAGTGGAGTCAGCTGTCTTAACCGTGGCTTGTGTACTGCAAACACATATTCATCACTGTGTCTGTCACGAGACTCTGTTCCCCTTTCGGGCTCTGTCTTTACATTTATTTTGAAAGATGAAGCTCGCGATTATGGTAAGGGGCGTTACATTTCCGACGAGTGCTTGCGGTGTTCGGCCAATCACAATGCACTGAGTCAGCTGGCCAATCAGAGCAGACTGTGCTTGTCGGAAGGAGGGACTTTGTAGAAAACGAAGCATTTGAGAGAGAAGGGGCATAGAGGACTTACAATAATGTACAGTATTTGAAAAATAATGTGTTTTTTGAACATTAAAGCATGTCAACATATTCTGTTACACCAAATACACAAAATAATGATCTTTAAAAAAAGCATCATATGACCCCTTTAAAGAGAAAACAAAAGCGTTTTTTGACCTTGCATGCATGTAAACCTACTGTAGGAGACTCCCAAAACAATATTAGTAACCTTTAAAATTACATAACAGAGGCACTTTAAGGGCTTTTAGAAAATCAAATACTACACTTCTGATTTTACCCTACACTTCCTCAAAAAAGTGGCCCCATTTACTTTGTACTGCTTCTCCACAACGCTGATCTTTGAAAACAATGGACAAGTCGAAATTCTTTTGTGTTAATCAAGTTTATGCCACAAATGCTGCCAAGTGAGCTTGTATTGAACCAGGAATATTCCTTTAACAGTAATAAAACTTGAAACATGCAGGGTTTCTCTCACCAAAGCAGCGAGTGAGAAAGAGAAAACCTGGAGTGAATCTAGAGTCGGAGGCTTTCAGCAGAGAGGGAAAACTGCTGTCGCTGCACTCCACTAACATAATTTGGGGCAACGCTTTAGGACACTGGATCAGAGGGGAGATGAGGTTATCTGCTGACACTGACACATTGCTAGAGAGCGAGAACAGATGGAGATTATAATCAGCTTGAGAGAAAGTGCAGGGCAGTAATGAGATGTCTGAGAGTTTGGCCCAAGGATATTGTGATTCCAGTTTATCTTTGTGTGTATGCACGCATGTGCTCACGTGTGTATTATTACAACTTCTCCATGAGCCACAGGTAATGAAAACACCATGACAATAAGATAAGAAGTGCAGAAAGAGCAAAAAAAGTTTATGAACTATGTGCTGTTTACAAAGATGTTCTGAATTCAGTAATCATTTCTTACAAAACAGGAAAAGTTATATTATCTTCCAATACAGATTTTTAAGTTAGTGGCCTCCTGTGAGGATGGGAATATCATTCGATGTTAATTATGTACGAATAAGTAGTATGTGCATGTGTGCATGTCAGTGTTTAATTCTTAAGTTTGTTTATCCAACCAAGAAATTCCTTTAGAAGAACAAACAAGAACAAATCACCAATAAAATGTGCAATGTTGATATGTTGTTTATTTAAATAAGCACTATGGTAACTACACTGTATTTTTTTAAGTACCACATAAATACCATGGTCTATGAATATGTTCAGTATGGAGATATGCCAAACTATGTATTTTCAAATCGTACTAATTGATGGGTTACCAGAATGGCCACTGTATTAAAAATGTCTTATTTTTTATGTTCATGTAAAATACTTACCCCTATCAAAGTTAATATCAATGGTTTTCCATTTGCTTTTTTTACAATTCTGTTTAGTGACACTACTGACACTGAAATTACTTTTATAAGGCCTGTATATGCTGTAAATTAGTTGTTAAAATTCTCTCATTCTCACCGTCATTTCATTTCTTTATCAACATTTTCATTTTTTAAATTTTTTTTTGAGGAACATAACATTTTACGTAAGGGAATCATGCAGCACTGTGCTGGCTCACCAATTAGTGTCTAATGTAAATATGAAGCAGAACCAGTGAAGAACCACTGGACTACTCTACTCACTGGTCGGTTGTGGGATGACTAGTCAACCTTTACCAAGCAATCCTATTCAGTATACTATTCATTATAGTAAAGATCAGCACTGTGGAATTACAACAGTATACTACCAAAGTACCACAAATGAAATATCTGTTACTCAAAATAAATAACAGGAAGATTATCTTTTGGCAAAACTGCTATAAATTCTGTGTGGGTGAATAAAGTGGTTAGACTAGGAACAACTGGATGTTGAAGAAGGGGTGATCAGTGGTGCTGCATCCCACTGATCTGAGACCTGCTGCTGACATTGTGCTGAGGGGGTGGAGCTAACATGAAAGGGCGTTTCAGAGTTTTGGCCGAGTTAATTGAGTTGCTGAGATCTGCACTTCATCACACTTCTTCTCAAGTTAACAAGCTCTGCTCTGCCTTAACACTGGGCAATACATTGTTAGAAGAGTTCAAACATTCTCTCACCTGCTTATCAGTAAACACAAGCAAACAAGCACATACAAGCACATACACACGCTCATCGTCTTCAGATTCTCTTTAGTACTCCCACACACACACACAAAGCAAAATATATCTGACAGTAGCAGAACTGAAGAGGTAGAGCTGTTCTGTGTGACAAATATGTCCTAAGTGCTATGAAAAGATCTGTCTGCTTTCACTCCCTGCCAGAATGAAAATTTTTTTCCTCTCATATACCTTGCAGCACATGGTGTGTATTCACGTCTTTCCGCGGTTGAAACAAAATACCTTCTGATGATCATTCATCTTTATACTGTTCTTTAACTAGCAAAGAGGAAGAGATGATCGGTTCACATGCCGCTTGAAATGAGGCACTACAGTGATCTGTCACAACACATTAAAGAGCCACAAAACGGAATTTATTGTTTGAATTTCTTACAAAATGATACAATTTGAAAGCCGAGACTTTGTTTCATACCTAAAGTAACCTGCTCTGTCTTGTCTTTCGGCATGTCAGTGTCCTCTTTGCTTCGTGATGTATTTTTCAAAATCATTCATTCACTTGTAAATAAAAGTCTATATGTTTATCATATGAAGCGATCGTATCTTGACACAAAACCGCTTGATTCACATGGATTCATTTTATGAAGCTTTAACCTTTTAGGATCTTTTACTTTTTCATTCTTTTTTTTTTTCAGAGACAGTAAGAGATGTTTTATACTTGTAGCACAGACCATACTATTGTAGCACTAAACTCTCCAACTCTGCAGCTCCAGTGCTTTGTGCCGAAAAAAAAAAAGTAATTGTACAGCACTGTCAACATAGGAAACAGTAACCCAGTAATTTACATTACTTCCTGTAGAATAGAAAGTGTACACATTAAAAACTGAGATTCTATTTTTCAAATTTAGGTTCCAAATTTAAAGCAATTTAGGCTCTACAGTAAGCAATTACTAAGATTCGGGTCTGTGAAAAAAAAAAAAATTCCAAAATTTTTTTTACAGCAAGGATTAAATAAACTGACATTATTGAAAAACTATATTTTGAATAATTGTCATTCTTTTGAACTTTCTGTTCATCAAAGAATAAAAAAGCATGGTTTCCAGGAAAATATTAATTAGCTGTTTTCAACATTGATAATAATAAGAAATTATTCTTGAACAGCAAAACAGCTAATTAGAATGATCCCTGGAGGATCATGTGACAGTAAAGAATGGAGTAATGGATGCTATAAAATTCAGCTTTGATTTCACCAGAATAAATTACATTTTACAATATATTACAACAGAAAACAGTTATTTTACATTATTATAGCTATTTTAAATTACAGTTATTTTAATAATATTTCACAATATTACTGTTTCACTGTACTTTGATTAAATAAATGCAGCCTTGGTGAACAGAAGAGACATTTTAAAAAAAATTTAAAATCCTACCAACTGAGGGACTGAAATGATTTTCAATGGTAAATGATGTAATGCCACAACTGTTGTCCACAGAAAATAAATTATATTGAAAACAGAACATTTAATTAATGCTTCAGGCTTGTTTGCAAACTCTGGGATGATTCCCAGAAAACGAACAGGCTCAGAGTACACAAATACAACACCATTCTCCATAGTGTGTGTGTGCACGAAAAGAGGTGTGTATACACTCACGTTCTCTGTAGAAGGAGACAATAATCCACCATGACAGGAACCATGTCCTGCAGAGGAGAAGACAGAAAGAACAAGCAGGAGCAAGAAAAGACAGAGTGATGGGGTTTGAAGACATAGAAGAACAAGAAAAAAAGAGAGTGAGAATTCATTCATTCATAATAATAGACTGTACTAATAACATCAGGGCTGCCAAAGTAAACTAGAGAACGAGAAAGAAATCTTTGTTTGCAGAACAACAACTTATCTTGAAAATATTGTGAATCCAATCTGATATATCTGATATATCTCCCAGCCCAACGAACACGGGAAGTAATTAAATGTGCACATTTCTCTTGCGGTAAAACTGACTTTGAAAATGTGTCTGACAGACAGACAGTTAGAGCAGCATAACATTCCACATCGCCCTAGATATACAGAGCTAAATCTGCCATTTGGCCATGGTGAGTGCCTTATTTTTTTTATGACAGAGTGCTTCTTAATGGCAAAAAGAAATCTGAGAGCAAGCGAGACCCAGAGGCAGAGGAGAGATGACATTAGTGGGCCATTATTGTATGTGCTTTCCGCCTTATGATGAGATACAGTTTAAAAATGGATGCCGCAGGCCTAAAGACTGACATAAATGAGACTGTCTGCATCATTCTCTAAGTCTGCTCTCCTCACTCTCACCTCTCTTAAAAGCCTCTATAATGCTAGAAAACTCTTCAGCTCTGCCTTGCACTCTCGTTAAATAATATCTAAATCTTTAAATAATATGGAAAAATATTTGACTTCTGGAGATGTTTAAAAATGATTCCCTAAGATAACACCATTTGAGGCTCATTTGAGAGGGCTTCTATTGGTGACCCATTACCTGGAAGTGCTGCTCCATCACCTGGATTTTTCCTTGCTCTGGACACTTTTTCAGAGAGCGATCCACATACTGTAACAAAATTTCCACCATCTGTGAAGAGAGAAAAATCAGCAGAGGAATGTCATTTATTTGCACAAAATAATAATAATGATAATTAGTTTTTATATACCTACAACAAGTTCATTTAGGCCATTATATCTGTTACTTACAGTGCTACAGATTTCATTTTGAAATCTGTCATTTAGAGAAAAAAAAAACAAATACAGTCTCAATAAGAACAAAAATCATTCTCATTTTAATAGAAGTGGGATCCTGATAAGATCAGAGTTAGAGAATCGAGCTCAAAAAGTTTTAACCAATGGATTTAATTTTAAGTTAAAGGGTATATAAACAACACATGAAAACTAATTTCTAAACATGAACTGACAGTTCTCTGTCTGAAATCTGACATGCTGTTCTTACACACACACACACACAGTATAAACCGGTGGGTACCCACTACTGATCCAACCTCCATTTCTGAATCAAAGTAATCAGACATCATACAATAACCTAATGAAAACACTTGTGGCTTTTTTTCTACATTGGATATCAAATGTTGGGTCCCACTTTATATTAAGTGGCCTTAAAGGCACAGTAGGCGCATATTCAAAATAAACAAATAGACAAAGGCGTAGTTTGATGACGCCGTGACTGTGTGTGGAATCATGGGAGTTGTCGTCTTCATCCCCACAGCCGATGCAATCCGACGGGACTCGGGCAGAAATCATGTTCATAGATGAGCTAATGATTTATTAACGTAGTAGAATGAAGCAGGGTGAGGCTGAAAGCCGTCGAAGCGAAATGAGGCCGCTGAACGAGCGTGACACACGGCTCGAAAGCAGCGGAGCTTTTATTATGCCACAGTCGACTGCTTCCGCTCCTTCCGGTCGTGTGTATGTGGGGGGGGGGGGGGAAAGCAGCGTCGTTTCATCATACTAGATACATTTGAGAGTACTGTTATAATGCTACTCTGTGTGGTCATCACCGGTCTATTAAAACGCACAACATATTAAAGCATCTTTGGTGTTTCCATGTTTCCATGTTTTCTATCGAGGGGTTATGACGTCATTGGCAGGTGACACAATGACACTATGGGCACGGTCCGAGTCACTAGTTAAAATTGGTTATTTCTCTGGATTTAAACATTGTTCGAAACATTTGGGATAATGTAAGTACACAAGTCAGCAAAATATATAACACTGTTATAGTGGTTTTTGGATATTTTAATAAAAAAATCTTACATATTGTGCCTTTAACTACTATGTACTTACATTTAATAATTTGGTACAATGCACTTATTGTGTACATACATGTTTTTACATTGTACTTATATTTTAAAAATACCTGCATGTAATTACATCTGTAATTAATTTCTGTAATTACATTTATAATTACACTGTTTACCCATCCCTTACAACTTAACCCACCCTTAAACCTACCCATACCACCAAACCTGTCCCTAACCTTACCCGTTTCCCACCTCAATAGCAGCTAAAGTGTTTTGCAATACAATATGAACACAATAAGTACATTGTACTTATTTTTTGATCTAAGTACATAGTAGTTCAGGCCACCATTAATATAAAGTGGGACCAAATGTTGTTTGGAAAGTTTGCTGCAGAAGTTCCCACAAATGTGTTGCACTTGTAGGTTGCTTTGTTTTCACCTTTCGGTCCAGTTCACCAAAGGTTGGCAACAAATCCAGCAAACAGCCCGCTTACACTTCCATGTCTGATGTCACACAATGAGAGCTTACTTTACTTGCGGCATAAAAAAACACTGCGTGATGAACCAAATATTGGTCTATAAGACCCTCTACCAGTCTTCACTATTCTAACGGTGGTATGTCATGGCATAGACAAGCCTCTTTTTCCTATTTAGTACATGGGTGTTCTAAAATGTTTCACTGGTAGTGCATATATTATATACTGTCGCCTCTGGCTTGCTTAGTTGGGGACACTTCATTTCCGGCGATATCTTTGACATAATTGCAAAGATATTATTTTAACTGAGCTGGAGGTTGACATCACTGAATTCAATGATGAACTGTCTTTAACTGAAAAATGAGTGTTTACTATTGTCACTTTGCATTATTGACACTATTTTCCTAATTAATGCTGTTCAGTTGCTTTGACAAAATCTGTATTGTTAAAAGCGCTATATAAATAAAGGTGACTCGACTTGACATATATTGTGCATACTTAGTTCCAATTGCTTTCTACACCTTATGTTCCAACAAGAAACTTTTTGAAATTGAAGATGTATGTACAGCAGTGTCAGTGTATTAGCAAGAATCTTACCTTGTCTGCAACCACACCTTTTCTCTTAGCAGGGTCTGCAAATAGACCTGTTACATAAACACATCACATATTAATCACATAAGGTTTACATTACTATCTGGATTTTGTGGCATCATTAGAGCATTTGTATTTTTTCTAATCTTAATTCTATCAAACAATAACTACTGCAGTCTGTGTGCATTGAATTTATTTAATACACGAGTTTCACAATTTGAGTTGAATTACTGAAATAAATGAACTTTTCCACGACATTCTAATTTATTGAGATGCACCTGTATATATTATTTTAGAGTGGATGGTGAACAGAAGGGCCGACCTAGCACAGCTTTGGCGGTGCCCTCGTGCAAGGACCATGCAAGAGACAGAGCCTCCATGAACTTCTCCTGCTTCAACAGATGGTCCACACGCTGCAGGACATCAGAACTCCCATTACTATCAGATTTGCTATTGCTAATCAGATATAACATCAGTGATGTGTTACAAAATTATGCCTTACCTCACGCCAGTTCCTCAGGGTCATGATGTGCACAGACTACAAAGAAGAATAAAAAATTGATTAACAAATCTGAAACAGGGCTGAACAAGGGTGAACAAGGGTGGCCTGATGACCCAGAGCAGTCCCAAGAGAATTTTGAGCCAGATGATAGAACTGTCATTTTACCAGTTGGATGTTGCTGCTCTTCAATTGCTTATCAAATAAATGTGTTTTTCTTTAAATCTTTCTAAATTAAACATTTGGTTTTCCATATTAAACTGAACATTCAGTACGTGTACATGGACAACAATACTCCGATTTTAACACGATTAAGACAATACTCTGATTAAGAAGCTACCATGTAAACAGAGATTTTTGATTACCTTAATCCAGCTAAAGTCATAATCGAAGTAAACACTAATCGAATGAAGACTAGTGTGGAGTATTCCTATTTTAGTCGCATTATTGAAGTGCAGTAAAGACATGTACACACCTTAAATCAAATTATTACCGCTGTGTAGGATTTTCGATGCATTTTGCGACAGGATACACACACGGCAGTGGTCAACCATTTGACAGCAAACAAAAGAATGGCTTCAACAATGCCGTCTTCTGTTTGCATGTATAGCATGACAAATAATTAACTGCACTTGAAGCTTTCAGTAAATTAAAAATGAAACACCTAAAACTGTATATGGCATCATAACGAAGACGAACTATATGTTTATACGTGAAATTCCGGAGGGGACGTCGGATGGCGTCACGTGGTGACGTAATGACGTGTGCCATTAATCAAATATTCTAAAAGCAACTCATGTAAACACCTTAATCGTAATATTGTCTTATTCAGAGCAAAGTACATAATTAGATTACTGATGTCCATGTAAACGTAGTCAGTGTTACTGCAAATTGTGCTGATTTCAAGTGATACTTTTTGAGGGGGAAAGAACAGAATAAAAGAATAAGAGAAGTTATTTTAAACTATAATAATAATTCACAATATTATTGTTGCAACACATCAAACAAATGCAGTCTTGCTGAGAGGTCGACCGATTGATCTTGCTGATTAATCAGCACTGATAGTCCATTTGCTGGAACTATTGGTTATCGACATAAATCCATACTGTTAGTTTTTACAGGCTGTGTCCGTTGCTGGAGTGGCTGAGAAGGTCCGCTGTCATTATACAGTACGAGAGCAGCCTCACTGAGGCCTTGTGCTGTCTGTTTTGACACACGAGACGACGAAAAACAGACAACGAAATGCTGTGAATATAGTTTACTATAGTGCATGTTTTCGTATCATAAAGCAATTCAGTTATTGACTAGATGCTGCATTAGTAGAGAAAGAACAACAGAATGTTTGCCATCAAGGCTGAGAGGACGTTTTTAGTACCTTAAGCGGTTAAAACAGTGTGACCAAAACACATGCAAGTCTGACCCAAATGTTTAATGCCACGATTGTTACCATCTATTTGCATTAGTTTATGTCCAGCTGGTCACATTAATGTATTTGTTAGCCAGCGAAGTTGCATATTTAAAGCTGTGATGTGAGAAAGCAAACTGATATGTTCATGCAACTGACAGAAATCCTGCCGCGCCACTCACTTAGTTTTACATAGTTCACATAGTTTTTAAAATTACATTAGAGTTGTTCCAATTCATTGTTAATGTGCACAATGACTTCACCCTAGGCTGGAAGATTATGCATTGTGAATTTTTTTTTTGTCGTTCTGTGGCTCCATTAACGTCTGTATGCTTCATATAGAGAGCTGTAATATAGATCGCGCTTTCTCTTTCCGTGCTTTTGGTTTTCAAACACCGAATTTCTAACTCATCAGTGCCACTTTGTTCACTTCTGAAGTGAAATTTTGCCTGTTTGGTGAATAAATAAAATGTTTTGGACTGCCGCTTGAATTGATTGTGAGTTACAAAATGTGTCGGGTGTGTGATACCTGTGAGCTGTCAGACGTGACACACCGCTGCACTTTTTGCTGTGTGACTGCCATATTTTGTTATTCTGATTAGATAATCATCAAGTGTTCTAAAATGTAAGCAAATAAGTGTGAGAGTATACATACAATATACATATTGTATGTAATTTCTTAAACGTCATGCTTAAATACCTTTAAGCATGACTGTTTGGATTTATATGAAATCGTAACACTTTACAATAAGATTTCATTTTGTAACATTAACTTTAATAAAGCTGTAGAAGTATTGTTCATTGTTAGAGAGTGTTAATTTCAACATTTACTAATGCATTTTTTAATTTTAAAGTTACATCTGTTAACATCAGTTAATTAACTATGAACTAACATTAATGATCAATGTTTAATTAATATTTAATATGAATATTTGTATTCCATATGAAAAGTATGGTTCAGTGCTGTGCTGTGTGTGTAATAAATTTCAGCATTATTTTAGTTTTCATAACGTATCCATTTTAAAAATCAGGTGATTAATCAGTTATCGGACATTGTGGTCCAACCTAGCTAATGGTCTCTGTAAAATCAGGCGACCTCTACATAAGAGAACTATAATAATAATAATAGTTTTTTTTTTATTGGCACCCTAAAACCTTTATTATATTTAGAATGGACCAGTGAAAATGTACAAAGCCCTGTGAGGTATATGTTTTCGCCATTAAATGTATTGATAGAGCATAAAATTAGAATAATTCATAAAACTGAGGTCACATTAGATGTTTATTCAAGCACTGGTTGAGTTATTAAATAAGCAGCACTTGGGGAAAATGATACAGGCCACAGGAATTAATGTGACCTCCAGGAGCTGGCCCACTATCACTTCTAATGGATGACCCACAGACAGTTCTTTCTCACCCTCCTTCCAGCTGCCCCTCTCTCCTTCATTTCTCTCCCCTTCCCTCCCTCTGGCTGCAGGTAACAGGAAGTTCAGTGAGGACATCACGGAGAGCAGATCTCACTGAATATTCAGGGTATGCGTGATGTGTGATTAGCATAATAGCACTTGAGTGTGCCATAGCTCAGTCAGAGGGGCGCTGGAGGAGTCAGCCAAACTTACAGCTGAACACCAGCCACCCAACATGTGCTACCAGTTTGAGAGTTTACAAGATACCCTTGCAAATCTCATATATTCACCCTTATAAATGTTAAAAAAAGAAGACTATTTGTTGGATAGTTCTGCTGTAGAGTAAAAAGAATAAAGCTACAGTGCATTTTCACAACCAGTAAAGGTCTATGAATTACTAAACTCCAGTCTCTTTGACAGGGCAGATGTTGTGAATCAAGCTAAGCAGGGACAACACATGGAGTGACACGGCGACTAGCGTAATTCCTGAAAATCTAGTTCAAATCAAAAGATTTAAAGGAATAGTTCACCTTTTTTTTCTTCATGGCAACAGACGTTTGAAGAAATTCAGCATTACATCACTTGCAGTGAATGGGAATGAGAGTTCAAACAGCTGATTAAAAACATCACAATAATCCGCACGGCTCCAGTCCATCATTTAATGCTTTTTTGAAGTGATAAGATGTGCTTGTAAGAAATGTTTCACATTCGTATCTTAAACCATCACTTTGACTAAAATTCATTAAAATTACTATAATTTTGAGTCCTCTATTCATATTTTTGCTTTCTCCAGTGAAAATGTTTTCTTGTCTTAATCAGGAGAGAAATATGCACAGATCAAGCACTGTTTAAAAGCAAAAACAGGCCAAAATAGTTCTAAACAAATATGCTAGTGGAATTTGATGTGAGAGGACAGAGGATGGACTTTTTCCACTGGTCATTTTTTAAGTGTTATTATGGATTAGTGGCTCATATTTTGGGCAGAAGCAACAGTTTGAAGTTGAAATTTTTTTTTTTTTTTTTCTTACAAACACAGCTTTTGCACAAGACATTCATTGATGGACTGGAGTCGTGTGGATTACATGTGGGTTATTGTGATGTTTTTATCGTCTGTCTGACAGCAAAAGATCCACTGGTTAGTAAGTGATCATGCTAAATTTCTCCAAATCTGTGAGGATGGACTTTTTCCACTGGTCATTTTTTAAGTGTTATTATGGATTAGTGGCTCATATTTTGGGCAGAAGCAACAGTTTGAAGTTGAATTTTTATTTATTTTTTTTCTTACAAACACAGCTTTTGCACAAGACATTCATTGATGGACTGGAGTCGTGTGGATTACATGTGGGTTATTGTGATGTTTTTATCGTCTGTCTGACAGCAAAAGATCCACTGGTTAGTAAATGATCATGCTAAATTTCTCCAAATCTGCTCTGATGAAGAAACAAATTCACATACATCTTGGATAGCATGAAGGTGAGTACATTTTTAGCTAATTTTAATTGGGGGGGGGGGGTTAAAAAGTAACCGACATGACCGGGAATTGGAGAGAGAAGTCACCCCTCTTCCATTTTCAAGATGATCAAAAACATACTCTCTCAGTAAACTTTCAGAATTACAACCCCTTACTGTAGCTCTAGTCCTTGCATTGCCGTAGGCTCTTATGAGGAAAAGAAATGTGACATGCTGACTGCTGGGACTGTGCCAAATTCTGTAGCGCCCTTATTTTTGCAATTTTGTCAAAATTAGCTACAGATTCAGAGCTAAGTGCACACGTTTGTTTAATGATGTAGCTGCCCACAGCACCATGTACTATCATTTTAAAAAGAACATTATTAACCAGAATTTCATTTTGTTCCAAGCGGTTTCCATTTGGTCACAGAACACCACAGCCGAAACATAAAAACTACAGTTCCGCTCAGAAGTGCCTCAAAACAAACAAGCATTTAATTTACTATCCCTGGATGATACAATTAAAATTATGTAATCAAATATTCCAGAAATTATGATTGACCATATATCAAATTATATTTTTGGCACTGGAATATGATTAGTTGTGATTAGCAGTTATAAGAAATACAACAGAAAGACTTTGCTTCTACCAGAGTTTTTATACCAGAAGCTCACATAGCACTGAAATTTTAGCAAAGATACAGAAGGCGGAAATGTATAGAATCCATTTTTATGTTTTGTGCTTGTGTTCAGTGTCATCATGTATGGCTTTACCTTTGTTCCCAGGTACATGATCTGGCCTGCATAGCTGCAAACAGACTGGTAGCATGTCTTCTCTCCAACTAGAGCCTGAAGATGCACAGAGGAATAGTGATTCAATATCTCTAAATACCAAACACTTTCTAGAGCTCCTCTACATCATGAATTGACCATTGGGTTCTTCATGTGTTTATATAATGTTTAGACAAAAGACCTTAGCATTGACTCTTGAATCTGGTCTAAGGCATATTGTGTATCAGATGTAAATTGTATACAGGCTGGCCTCGATTGACTCCTCCTGTCTACATGAATAGTTCTAGGCCAGAATAAATACAGCAGTAGGGTTCTGGAAGTAAAAATCCCATACATTTTCTTCATACATAAATTATTCTATAATAGAGATTTTTGGTGTATCATAAATATTTGTTTTTATTTATTTATTTATTACCTTTTCAAGACAGACCTACCATGCACTCTGAGATTGATAAATAGGAGTATACATGCTTCTGTAAAATCTACAAGTCACTGGGATTTTACAGAATGATAATTTCCCTTAAAAATCATGCTTAATAGCAGAATGCAATGTACTGTCATTTTTATCAGTGCTATTTTTGTATTATTTATATATTATTATGGGATCTATTAATATTCTGATGTAGCTTTAATTTTTTATATATATATTTTTTTTTCATTTTAATACTTCAGGTTAAACTTATTGCCAAGGCAACATTTCTAATTTCCATTTATTTTTTTAAGTTTAACTCAAATTAAGTTTTTAGTTTTAAAGGGGTCATATGATGCGATTTAAATTTTTCCTTTCTCTTTGGAGTGTTACAAGCTCTTGGTGCATAAAGAAGATCTGTAAAGTTGCAAAGACTAAAGTGTCAAATCCAAAGAGATATTCTTTATAAACATTAAGAGTCAACCACGCCTACCTAAATGGCTCGTTCTAACACGCCCCCACATGTCTACGTCACGATGTGGGAAGGTTTGCATAACGCCGCCCAAATGTTCACGCAAAGAAAGGCGGCGTAACTTTTATTCTCGCAGTTGTATTGTTGCTGCCGCCATGTCGTGAAAGCGCTATGTTTCGTTGAGAAAGCAAAACTACTTCGGTTGGCCTTCCAAAAGAGGACGATATCTGCTTCGTCATGCCTAGTGCTGATCC